CATGGGTGGAGTTATGGATGCTGGTGGAAATCAACGGGGAGTCGGACGGAAGATGGACCCGTCCCTTATATAGTACCAACCCATCTTGAAGCGACCAATTGGGGTCGACAGTGCCTGACTGGATCTTCTGGACCAAGGGTGACCATTCCGGAGATTGTGGTGCTGCCTTCTTAATGTCGTCAAACAGAGAGATCTGGGGTTGGGAAATGCCATACAGAGTCATCACGTCTTCATCTCGCCTAGATAAGGCATCAGCTGCGCGATTAAAGGACCCCGCCTTGTACTCTACCCGGAAGTCGAACCCGAGCAGTTTGCTAACCCAATGCTGCTGAGGGGCAGTGATGAGACGTTGCTCTAACAGGTATTTGAGGCTGTAATGATTAGTTTTGACGACGAACGACCGCCCCCACAAATATGGTCTCCAGTGCTGGACGGCTCGGGCGAGGCCGATCAGTTCGCGCTCATAGGCTGGAAGCTTTAGATGCCGATCGGCCAGTCGGCGGCTGAAGAAAGCAATTGGGTGGCCTTGCTGCTGTAATACAGCGCCGATACCTACTCCGGAAGCATCGCACTCGACAGTAAACTCGAGGGCGAAATTAGGTAACTACAGGACCAGGGTGGAGGACAGGGCAGTCCTTAGCGCCAGAAAAGCTTCATCTGTTGTGTCGTCCCAGCGGAAGGAATTTTTCTTTTATAGGTTGGTTAACGGTGCAGCCAACAATCCATAGTTCTGAACAAATTTGCGGTAGTAACCCATTAATCCAAGGAATCTGTGCAAGGCCTTGGCTGATTGAGGTTTGGGCCATTCTTTGATAGCCTGAATCTTGGAACCATCAACTGTCACACCCTGCCCATGGATGACGTGGCTGAGATAAAGAACCTGTCGCTCCCCGAAGGAACACTTGGACCTTTTGAGGAATAATTTGTGTTGGCGCAGGAGCTCGAAAACTGATCGCAGATGATGCACATGCTCTACCCATGATTTGCTGTAAACGAGGATATCGTCAAAGAAAACTAAAACAAATTTGCGCAGATGGGGCTGAAATACCTCATTCACTAATGACTGAAATGTGGATGGGGCATTGGAGAGGCCGAATGGCATGACCAAAAATTCGAAGTGGCCATGGTGGGTGCGGAAGGCAGTCTTCTTCACGTCGCTGGAAGCCATGTGAACCTGGAAATACCCTAATCTGAAGTCCAACTTAGAGAAATATTGCGCACCATGCAATTCGTCCACAACGGGAATAGGGAACTTATCCTTGATCGTCCGGTCATTGAGTTCTCTATAGTCAACACAGAACCTCCACGTTCCATCCTGCTTTGCCACCAATAACCGGCGAAGAGAAGGGGGAGTGACTTTTGCGTATGATTCCTTGTTGCAGCATTGCTGTATACTGTCTTTCTATCTCATCCTTCTATAGGTGAGGGTAGCGATAAGGCCGAACAACGACTGGCGCTGACCCTGCCACTAAAGGGATGCGATGGTCGCAAGCTCGGGGAGGAGGGAGTCCCT